ATCATCCTTCCTTCCGCCTTTCCTCCAGATGCTGTTTCCTTTTTTTTTTTTTTTGCGTGTGTTACAAGCAGGACAGGGGTGGAGCCTGTGGGGCTTGTGGAGGGAGGGGGAATGTTGGGAGGGCATGTGGGGGAGAACGGGGGGGGGACTGGGAGTGTTGGAACGAGGGAGGGGGCAATGGGGGTGGGTTGAAGAGGGACTCCCGACACAAGGGGCTGACACCTGGGCTGTTTGTGGATCGTGTGTGCGCAGGTGAAGATGTCGGTGGGCTGACGCCTATGCAATCTGCGAATGTTAAGGAAAAACAACAAGACAAGGAAACTCCAAAAAAAAAAAAAGGTCGCGCGCACCTGGTGCATATGCGGCCTGTATGTGCGCATGCCCCAGCGCATCTGCACACAGTGCACCAGACAGCAGCGCAGCGCGTCGCGCGGTGCGCCCCCGGGTGTGCAGTGCGCGGCGGCGCACGCACAGCTCGGATCCGCGCATTGCGTGCTGCGCAGCGCACAGGCCAGGTGCGCCGCATGTATGATATACAGCATATAGCCATTATTGGTAGAGATATCTTGAAGTTTAGAGTTCTGTAAATTTGGTTGGTAGAATTAATTCGACTTTCCCTTTTTGTTTTCGATGCTGTTGTGTTTAGCTCTAGTTTGGTGCGTTGTTGCGTTTTTGCACAGGGGTGAGGCTCTGCCTGGGATGCAAGGTCGGGAGGCCCTGTGACCCCTGCATTTGTCATTTTGTATATGTTCTGCCTTGGCCACTGGGCCTGCGATAATATAAGGTGACTTCTCTTTGCAAGGAAAATGAGCAACAGCGAGATGACAAATCCAGATTCCACAATCACATTGAAAGCCAGATAGTCACACCGTGTCCAGAGAGCAGCTTTGCACCAATAATACACCAATGGAGGTTCGTAGTACTGAAAACCAATGTCAAGGAGAGCTTTCTCTCTCCACACCAACACAAGAGTCCAGTCCCTTCACTCTCCTACTTGGCGCTCAGCGTCCAGCCTACTTTTACACAGCTATTATCAGCCTACTAATTGACAATGCAACTGTTGACATCAGCGGCAACCCGAAGTACTTGAAGATGTCGCCCAATGCAGACCATCGCCAATACAAGGTATGTGCCCTTACATCATCATCATCATCATCATCATCCTTCACCCTTCCCTGACTTTACACCCACGTCTTCCTCCCTTACACCCGAAGACCACTCATGCGCCTCACTGTAGTCCAAGCCCACCAGCTATGGTGGCTGGGCTATGGCGCTGCCCTCAGCAGCGCCCTTCTTCCCTGCACGACCGCACGTGCTGCACCTCGCCTCTCAGCACCAGCAGCAGCCCACGAGCCTTTGCTCCAGCAGCACTGCCGCTAGCATGCGAGTGCCTGAATGAGGCTGAGAGTGGCGAGCTCTTTCCTTTATGGAAAGAGCCTGTCTGCTTCGCAGCCTAGCTGGGTTGGGCCTGGGCCCAGAAGCTTCCGGTAGGCCCCAGGATGCTGCGTGCTATTTTGCAGCTACTGGGCCGCTTTCGGTTGGGCCTCCCAACTGTCAGTGTATGAGGCTGCGTTTCTCGCCCAGGGCCTGCATTCTTCGGAAAGGCCCAGAAGGCCGTGGAAATGTCTTGGTTGCTCGGCCTGTGTTTCTCTCAACCAACTGGAGCGTCGCAACTGCCTGTACCCCAAATATGAAATTGACAGTCAAAGGCCTCTTATGATATGTTAGGCCCGCCTTCACTTAGGGTGGGCACCACTGCAACCGGGGCCCCTTAGGCCTGCCGAGGACCCAGATCCTCGCATCTTTAAAAAAAAATAAAAAATAAAAATAAATAAATAAATAAATAATAATAATAATAAGAAGAAGATGATGAAGAAGAAGAAGAAGAATATAAGGTGACTTCTCTTAAACCACTAGTACCTTTGTCGGTTCGGACAATAGTGGGCCTCCAACCTTTTAGGAGGCCGAAACCAAACGACGGCCGCTGATCAGATTCATCAACGGCAACCGTTGTCGGCCCCGGCCTCCTGCCCGGCCTCCTAAAAGTTTCCGAATAGGCTAAGACTTGCCGAAACGAAACAGCAAAGGTACTAGTGGTTAAAAAAAAGAAAAGAAAAAAAAAAGACTATAAAATAGTATAAATCTAGGCTGCTAGAGTGGCCCGGGCCCACGTGCCCGACCGGGTCAAAAAGAAATAAAAAAAATAAAAAAATAAAAATTAATTTAAATTATTTTTTTATTTAAATTTTTATTTTAAATTTGGTAAAGAATTTCGATGTGACCCTGAGGCAAAAGTTGTTCAGTTTATTTTTCTGCATAACGTAGTTTCTTTTCGGAGTTTTTGGATTTGTTTTTGTTTTTTTTGTTTTTGGGCTCGGACCTTCCGTAGTCCTTGCACGGCTGGGCCGCCCGGGAAAATAGGGTGACCCAGGCGGCCTGGCTGGTTGCCTAGCTTTAAAGTCATTATAAGTGCCTTGAAGGAGGCCCCGAGCAGCTTGTCGTACACTCGTTGTCTATTCATAGCCAACACGAACCGCCTTCATGACGAGCCGTCCTAGTTTTTCGCTCTGTCAGATCTTTGCAGTCAAGATCCTGAATCCTGATCAAACGATCAAGATTTAGCATTTGATATCCAGGTGGCTGATTCAATAGCACCGGGGGAAAAAAAAAAAAAAAAAAAAAAAGAACTTTAAAGAAGCATACCAAATTGGTGTAGTTAACAAAAAAGGAAAGAGAGAATCACCCATGACAAACTGTTTCGTTGGGGTTTCACCGACTCATATATGTTGCACAAACTTCCCATTTACCAATCAACCAGACAGCGTATCATGTGCAGAAATCAGTCCACGTGCACAATCGATTGGACTGGATTCGGACATGGCCGTGGATCACAGATTCTACCTGGAACAAATCATGGACCATGGAGGATCCACTGTGGTAGTTCCTTACCCCAAGTCAGTGAACTCACACCTCTTCAACGACAGATCGGAGCGGGGCGACCGTTAAGTCCCACAGCCTGTTTCGCTTGCTCATACGCTCGCTCACTCGGCTTATGTAACCATTACTACACAGATTGTGTGTTCAAATCCTGATGGTATCATGGTACAATAATGTTAGGGGCAACCGCGCCCGCTTCCCCCCCGGGCCAACCCCCCCGCCCGCTCCTTTCTAAAAATGAAAAAGAACAAGCAAGCGCACTAAAATTGCTAATCCCCCCCACCAAAAAAAAAGAGCCACAAACGCTGAAAGTCGTGCTCGTGCTTGTCCTTGAAACACAAATATCTGAGGCCAGAAAGTTCCCTTCAGCTTTCCTTTTTTTTTTTTTTTTTTTTTTTTGAAACATCGACTACGGCTGTTGGGGGGGGTGGTGATAAGAGCAGACACCCCGTCTACTTAACCCGTTTTTGGATGGCTCCATTCCATTGGCGGGGAGATGTGATGCACCTGCTGGAAAACGGGTCCAGCGTCCCTTCACAACAAAATTCAGCTTTCCCGTTTACGTGTCTTGAACTGTGGCAGGAGGTCTGCTAATCCAATAGAAGAAAGGAGAAAAGAAAAGAAAGAAAAAAAAAAATCGTCCACTAATGCTCTACAGAGGAAAGAAAAGAGTAGAAAAGAACAAAAAACAAACAAACAAACAAAAAAAAGGTCGGCAAATGCACTTGCATAACTGCATTGTATTAAAAACAAAGACGTAAAAAAAAGAACAGGTCTCCCTTGAGTCCCCTTCTAGTCAAGGAGATTCCACGCGGTTGTTGTTCTTCACCTGGCGGACCAGAAGCACATGGCCAGAGTAACGGCCCAGAGTCCCAGAGTCCCAGAGTCCCAGAAGCCCCACTTGGGACTCTGGTGGTCCCCATCGCATTGGCATAGGCGGCATAGCACATATGAGAGTCATCCATCCCTGCTTGCCCCATTCTCTTTCATCCGGCTTGGAACGAGCAATGGCCCAGAGTCCGAGAAGCAACCACTTGGAGCTAGCAAGGGCGCAGATCTTCCCGGAAGTGGGATAGAGGCCTTACACAAAGGCCTAAAGATCTTCCCGGAAGACCCCATCGGAACCCACAAGGCCCCAGATTCCCAGACGTCCTCCCTCGGGTCTGTTCTGGCGAATTGGAGTCACCTTTTCCATCTGCTGCGGTAATCCCCCAGCACAGGGAGGAAGAAGGAGCTCTTTGAAATTCAGTTCGTCTCTCTTCGATTCATCGTCAGCACAGTCCGTTTGTTCACAAGTGGCACAGCTTTCTCACCATCATCATAAAAGAGGTGTAGGATGGAAGTGTCTTAGCCTAACTGAGAATAACGAAGCGTAATAATGGCGGCATAATGGAGTATAGCGGAGCATAATAACGGGGCATAACGGAGCATAACGGAAGGAGGGAAGTTGTGTTGGATTGCACGAGGTGTGTAGGTTGTTATGCTAAAAGGGGCCTTATGGGGTCTGAAAAGGAGCAAATCAGAATGCGTAGGTCGTTATGACCTACCGAACGGCTTGGAAAAGGAGCACCTGACTGAAGCTCCCGAGAATCAAAAGGAGCTGGGACCATAATATGGTCCTGGCTCCCAGTAAGGGACCATAATATGGTCCTGGCTCCCAGTAAGGGCCCTTACGTATGGTCCTGGTTCCCAGTAAG